TGCACTCAAAGTTTATCCATACCATTTTTGAAATTTCGTTATCGTTAACATTAAGCAGAAAAGAGTATGAGAAATCCAATAAAGGTAATATTATCGATTAGTATGGAAAATTTTAATTATACTACATATAGTAATAAAAAGTTAATTATAGTAATAAGTAAAGTATACGTAGCGGTAGGCATTAACTATGTAATAAGTTTATTACGTATTCATTATTGTTTGATCATTGTGGCTTAGGCCAACTGCGCCATAGACCTAGCACACATTCAAGGGATGCAAGGCCTCATTATCGTTACATGGCATATATATGACTGAATAGTCACAGCCATGTAGATGAACTGCCAGTCGATGCACTAGATTAAATTCGTTATATGAATTAGTCATTTAATAATATAATTAGTAAATGGGCTGGCAAAAATGTCCGTTATATACTTGAATTGCTATAACCGGTTTGTTTTAAAACTTCGGTATATTCCGTTGCATAACAATTGTGTTAAACCATTAAATCTAGTGTAATAGTGTTCATTTCATCGATTGACAGCCTTCAAGCAATAAATCAAAATAAATAATCGTTATATAAAAATTTAGTCAAAGTTTGGACTTTTATCGAAAGTGTATTCTTTACTGTCATTGGCAAGGGTATGTGCCTCTTACATTATACAAATTTGGATGCCTACAGCTATCCAGTATGTAATTTCATGTTCTAATTGCCGCACCTTTAGCCCGTACTATAACAAAATTTATTGATACCAGTATACTGGCATATCTACATGTCTGTGATTTAAAGCAAAATAAATAGATGTTAAATTTATGATTTAAAGATGTTTAGCAAACGTCACCTGACTTAACCCACCCTTAACGACACTAGCATCGCCCGCTAAAAATTGTAGCCGGATAGTTCTGCCGGGTACATGTGATTATGTGATTCGGATTTATTATTGGCAATTCAATTTCAATCAATATTCAGAGAATGTCTTTCACGTATTTACTATATGGGGTGTCCCCGATTAAAGGAGCCCATTTTACAATTTTTCAAAAAATAAGTTTTTATTAGATTCATATAAAATTTGATATGATTGATTTTTTATAATTATAAATGAAAGTGATTTTCTTAATGAAAAAAAATCTAAAAAAAACATGAAAATGCGCATTAATAACAAAGAGAAAGGTATTATACTTAAATTTATAAAATATAGAATGTGTAGTTCTACACATTGTATACATTGTATAATTAGCATGATTAATAATAAAGTGTGCCTACTCGGCGTCCCATTGCAATAACACCTGGGAAAGAAAAAAATAATTGTTCGGAGCGAAGCGAAGGACGCTATATGTTGTTGGAATGTAAATTTGTGTCCCGTTCCAAGTCACGGGTTTTCTTATTTTATTTCTTTTTATTCAATTATTTATTTATATTATTAAAGTCTTTTTATTATTTCAGTTATACATGTATATAGTTATTTATTTGTAATTCGTCCTGCTTATGTCCTTATTTACGTTTAAGAACCGTGGTGCTACGCACATAAACATTAAAATGAGCAGTTGGGGCCAAGGAATAAGCCATAGATTAGTGATGTGAGCAGTGTGGCTTCGTGTTACCTTAAGATGGTTTAAGCACAGGCAACTGCTTACGAAGGAGTAAGATATGAACGACATCATCATATATAGAATTACTTAGTATAGCCGTCACGAACAAATTGTATAAATATAGGTCCTTTTCGCCTTTCCAAAAGGACCAATTACGAATGAAGTTCCTAATAAATAAAAGTTCTCAATAAACAAATCGCTATTACTTTACCTTAAACATCTTGAATTTTTCACAAAAATATTAAATTACCTTCAACCCGCTCCATTAATTATCGATTCCTCTCTATGTTTGTTGATTAAACGACTATAAATATACGCTGGGTTTCTTATTTAGCATAAAGAAAGTAAGCAATGAGGCTGAATAGACCTTTCCTTGAATAAATAGGAGTCATATATTACATAGTTATAGTGTAATACGCTTACGAAGGACCACATATAGAAATATTCACTAGATCAAGCAATTACTTGGTGATTAAACTAATTACTTATTACAACCATCTATTTAGATCACACTTAAAATATAGTAACAATATCTGAACAAGGCCGCATCATGTGATATACAACCAATCACATTTAATTGATCGACAAAAACAGTAACAGATACGTAGTCAACTTATATTGCTGTATTGATATTAAATATACATAATATATAGTGTATATATTAATTATTGACTCTGGACATACAATTCTGTGTATTTGCCTAGTAATAATTATTATAGCCAGAGTTTATAATGATAACAACAAAGCTGTTTATATACGGGAATTTATATTAAGCATCTAGCAACAGCTTCGAAATGAAAAATCTGTCTCTAAAAAGTTTTAACGTTAAAATTACTTTTATTTCACAATATGTTGCATAATTTATCGATATCTATTAGAAGTTTCGTATGTTCTAACTGTCCGGAGCGAAGCGGAGAACTATTACCATAAATGGCTATATAAAAGATCTCGGTTAGTGATAGAAGATCTCACGTACATACTATACACTGGTGCAGATATCTCGGGATTTTAATTGAGACGCACTTGCCTGTTATAAATGCAAAGTGCACATGAATTTCAAATTTTTACTTAATATGTAATATAAACACTCAGCCATGTACAATAATCAGGTCTGTTTTAAAAATTGATGAAATGTAAGAGACGTGGGTCTTGAATACGTATAATTGGTAATGTCGCTCAGTTGTCCGCACACGTGACGTTTATCACTTGAAATTCCAGAATTTTCTAGTAACAATTACCTAAAAGAGATATTGATATATGCAACAATTTATTAATTGATTTTTTTTTTCCGTAGCAATCAACGCTACTTGTAATTCTATAAGAGGCAATTTCTAGTTGTGGTGTTATGAGAAAAATTTTGTTTGTATGCATTACAGTTATACGTAAAACAAAATTTCAATATTAAGGATACCTTACCTGGTTATTACGTTAGATACATTCTTTTATAGTATAGGCCGAAATTAAAAGGGATTAAAAGCTAAACTATACCCTATCACTAATTATTGTTATAAAATTCGGCCTATACTACATATAGATTTGTAATTTTATTTATATGGTAATAATAGTAAATACTAAAAATGATTTGTAATGCAAATTCTAAAAAAGGAAAATTGAATAAAAACGTTAATGCACATAGCCTCCTACGTATAATGCATCATGCCAACAGGCTTTCCCAATCTCAAGTCAAAACCAAAATATCACGATAGATGTATCATAATAATCTATTGATATAAGTATGTATATGCATCTTTAGAAATAAGAATGCCGAGTCTTATCAATTTTGCTCATATCTATATAGGTCAGTATCCCGTTTTATTGAATAGAGAACGCAAGTAATCTGTCAAAAAAGTTAAAACGAATTATAGATTTTTGAAAATTAAGAAATATATAATAAGAATTTTCATTTTAATTTTGACAAATATAGTAAATCGATTTTTATTTAATTTGCATAACGATAAATGACATGTTTGTGTGATATTCAAAATATAGCGATATAAGAAAAATTTATTGGTACGTGAACCTAGGATCAGCTTCATTAGGGATGGGGGAAGTTTGATTTGGATCAATTTGATTTACATAATATAAATTCTAATTTATACAGATCATCCCTAGTAGTTGTGTCACCCAAACCCGATAGTTTCGTCAAATGCCAAATCTCAAATTGCCGAAACTAGTTTGGATTTTACCGTAACAAACTCCCAAATAGCAATAATGTGCTGAAAGTTCCGGATGGTGCCGAAACAGTTGGATATACAACTAATCCTTAGCTTCATGGATTATTTTCAGTGCTGATATTTTATTAGTAGACTAGGCTTGGTCACTATCTACTTTAAAGTCACCTGACATAGACTTTAATCCGGATCAAAATAGAATATACTTGATATGTATATCGATATATCGATATGTTTATTTTGTCTAAATAAGAAATTCTTTTCAAATACCGATACTAATTTTAGCCACATAAACATAATAGTGGTAACATTTAAATTAAGAAAATTTCCTTACACCTATAAAAAATTATGTTTTTTACATAGTAGCGTTAAATGGTAAAAAGTTTAATACAAAATTTGACTTACAATTTTTTTTTTGTTAAAATATGTTACCGAATACGATACTCAATTTTTAATTTGATTTAGTTCATAACATTATTTGGGTTCTTTTTTATTTTTGGAATCTTCACGATAAAAGTTAAACAATTATTTTAGTTTCCTTTTTTGATGATTCACGTTAATGGTAAATAACTAATCTCGATATAGAGATAGTCCTGTCAACTATTCTGTAATTGGATATGTTACGTAGCATTATTCCAACATCATGGTTTTCAAGGCATTTTCCTCTTAAGGCATAGTTACAAATTCATGAAGAACTTTTAAATATAAAAAATAATTGAAGCCATGTGAAATTTAATAGTCTTTTAGATAACTATGACTCACAGTTCATGCGAAGAATGTAGACGAATAAGTTCCAACGAGGAGACTTTGTCTTGGTGTAATTTTTGTAACTCACAACATTTTCAAGAACAATTCAAAGACTGGACAAGTGGGATTGAAATCATTGACAAGTTTATCCAAGAAACACAACTCAACGCATCAAATAAATTCCAAAAATTAGAGTGGATTCCCTATGAAAATTTCTCTAATGTTACGTTTCTTTCTAAAGGTGGATTCGGTGAAGTATACGAAGCAACGTGGGAAGATGGCTATATTTGTAATTGGAATATTGAGAAAAAAAGTTGGTCAAGACATCCTAATACAAATGTTGTTTTAAAGAGTTTATATAATTCGAATGATGCAAACAAGTTAATTGAAGAGATTAGCAATCAAATAAAATCGATTAACATAAAAGATGATTATAAAGTAATTCCATGTTATGGAATAACTCAAAACCCAGAATCAAAAAAATTCATGATAGTCATGCAATACGCGGAAGGGGGAAGCCTTCGGCAATATTTAAATAATAAATCACATAATTTAGACTGGAATAAAAAGTTCAGTATTTTAGATTCAATACTCAAAGGACTTAATGATATTCATGACGCCGGGTTGATTCATCGAGACCTTCATAGCGGAAATGTTGTATTATTCAACTCCGGGAACGCATGCATTACAGATTTCGGTTTTTGTAGATCGATTAATTACGATCTTTCAAATGAAAATCAAGTTTATGGTGTCGTTCCATATGTTGCACCTGAAGTTTTGTGCAGACATGAATATACTCAATCAGCGGATATATATTCGTTCGGAATTCTCCTTAATGAGGTGGCAACAGGCATTCCACCTCATCACAATTATCCACATGATATTATACTTGCGTCAAAAATTATTGAAGGCTTTCGTCCGATGATCGATTATAAAATTACGCCTCCATGTATTATTCAATTAATTCAGCGATGCTGGAATGCCGATCCGAAAGTCAGACCCACTGCTCGTGAATTGAAAGATCAATTTGACACATTCAATTTTTCTGGGTTTCAAATTCAATTAGAACCTATGCCAAGTAATTTTCAAGCTATAAAATCTCCCGAAGGTATTATCTGGTTTCTCTATTTCAAATCTAGTTCATGACACATCATATTCAATTATTCAATTGTGTTTATCGGTTACTACATTATCAGATTTTACAGATTCTGGAGTAATTGATTTACATATTCCAAACTCGTATATAATTTTAGACCGAGACTCGCATAAAATTTTAGATCAAGACTCGTATAAAATTTTAGATCAACTATATTTTACTAAGTGTTGCATATGCTGAAATTTGGGGTCTCTATTTGGACCTATAATACCTAGGGTTCCTCAAAATCAAATCAAATATTGGATCAATTTGAATTTGATTTGAATTTTCTGTATTCGAATTTGATTTGAATTCAAATATTTGATCAATTCAAATCAATCACGGATCCCTATTAAAACCTACATATACTCTTATCAATAATACTACAAACCCTAATATAACTATGCAAAAAAGGGCACTATTCAGCAACAGCCAATTCAGCATAATCTGCCACAATAAGTATTACTTGGTATGTAGTTAATCAGGTCTTAACCAAGATTCTGAATCACTCAGTTAATTGTCGTAAAGCACCACAGTCAGCATACATACAAATCAAAAACACTCCAATTAACATGATTTGTACTCAGGAAACATTTGTGTGAAAAGAAGATTACAATTTAAGCGAGTATTTATATGATCCTTAAATTTTATTGGATACGCAAAATTGACCATATCACACAATTGATGCATCTTCCCTAAATCAATCGAATGTGGATGAAATGAATCGAAAGTATGCTATGTAATAAGGTTTCAGAGTGGAAAGGTATTAGAAAATGGTGGGAAATTTTAAGGAGAAAATGTGAAAATATTAATGTGTTAGTAGTAATTGTAACGGTGTAAAGAACATACAAAAATGTAATGGGATATTTATCTTTGTTGAAAGAACAATGGGACACTATCTTTAGTAATCGGAAGAGACTTAGTAAGGTCACAAAATCGTAAATAAGTGAATAAATGTCGATTAGTGTTAGTAAAAAGTATACTTGCCAAATCAGGATGAGACTCAAATCTTTCCAATCAAATATATCAGAGTGTTCGAACAACTGTGTTGAAATATAGTAGATTATGCTGGCTCTTAATTTCGAAGGTATTATTTTAATGGATGAGTAATTTATTGTAGCAGAGGTTTAGAAATAACGATGTAGAATTTGATTTAAATTGTATAAATGTATATAATGTTTCATTAAAAAAAAATTTTTTCCATCTACTGCAAATCCGTTTTATAATGATTCATCGTCATCTTAATTCCTGAAATTAACTTGGCTTAAAATTTGACTTATACTAATAGCTGAATAATAATCTTGTTCAAATCACATTTGATCTGTTCAAACTGCAGTAAAAATGCTTGATGAATAACGAAACTTTCGTCATTGACGGATGACAAAACCATTTCGTCAGGTCACTTCTTATTGACAAATTGACGATTGACGAAACCTGTGACGATTGATAAATATTATAATATAGAGTTAATCACAATAATTCAGCAATATTATCTGCTGTGCGCTTTAAAACATGATTTTTTTATATACAAATCGGTCTTTGCATAATAAGTAAACGTGCTTATTATAACAATTAGCATATAATTCGAGAGTCTTAGAAAATTCAGTAAATTTTTTGGGACTAAGTTTTAACATTTTAGATCTTAGTAAACAAAAAAAATTCAATAATAAATAAATTTATTTTATTACATTGCATTCCTAAACTGTATTATAAATATTCATTAAAATTTAATGAGGTTATTTTCTGAGTCATAGAGCATATAGAATTAAATTTTTATAAAAAAATTCTAAAAAGCTCTTGAAAATTATTGGATTTAATTAAAAATTTTAACTTAAAAAAAAATCAAAATTTTGATACTTTAAAACTTTATATAATAAAATTTTATAAAATTTTTATTAAGTAGTTTAATAAAATAAGTATGTATTGTTTAATATAACATGATATATATATTTTGTTTTTAGGAATACAATCAAACTTCAGTTATATTACCCTTTTTGTTTAGAAAATTTTTGAATATATAATTTTGATAAAAATATAATTGAGGTAATATTTAATAAATGCAAAATATTTATATTGCTAAATAATAGAGATATAACTTAGGGTAATATACAACTTAGTGGAAATATAACTGAGATTTGACTATATTTTTTTATTTAAAGTTTTAAAATACTAAAATTTTAATTTTTAATTAAACATATTAGTTTTTAAAAAACTTTTAAAATTTTTCTATAAAAATTTAATCTATGCTATAGAACTTAGAAAATAACAATTTTTTTTTAAAAAAAGTTGTACTTTATGATAGTTATTTTATTAACATATATAAGATTAATTTACAACTATTTTTACAAAGATAAAGATACAGCTAGTTATACATATAAGTTTTAGTTGCTTATTTAAATAATTTGTTTAGAGTTTTTTACTAGATGTTATACTTATAATCTACTAGAAGATTATTTATTTAAATTCTCTAATTATCTATCTTAATGATTATTTAACTTTCTTTTTTGAACTAGTTTTCAGATCATTGCATATTTCAAAGTATATTATCTGCTAGTAAGACTCAAAGAGTTTTACTTATTAATTACCTACTTATTTTATAAACTATCAACAAGATCTTGCTTTTGTAAAGTTTATCTATACTCCAATACCTACTTTACAATATATTTATAACATTTTAATATACTTTTGCTTTGTTTTTAGATTTCTAATTCAAATAGTTCAAAAGGATTATAATCTAATTCTAATATATTAAGTTAACTTAATATTCTTTTTCTTTAATTTGATCTAGAAGTCTAGTTGATAATACTTCTTAACTAGAAGTTCTTACTCATCTAATTCTTTTATATTAGTATTTGTTTTTAGATTTAGCTTTTATAGTAATACTGTTAAAAATCTGAATTATCTTTTTATTTAGATCTTTTTAAGTAAACTTTAGTTTTTCTTAGTTTTACAAATTTATATATTCATAAGAACTTATCTTAAGTTTATACTATTCAGTACTAATTTGTATTTTTTTGTATAATCAAAATTATACAAATATCTTATAATCTGTTAGTTATATTAATGCAATCATAATTATAAATATCTTATTCTAACTGATTAATAGAATGTTGTCACTATAATATTGTTTATATATTATATAGATAATTATTTAAAATTTTATTATTTGTAGGTTTTGAACTTTAAAACTTACTACTTAAAAGGTTAATAACTTATTCATGTTTTTTTTCTTTAAGTAATCATTTTAGTATTTTATTAAACTTTTAAAATTATATTTGCAATTATATGAATATTTCTAATAACTAAGTCTAGTTTTATCTGATCATCTTAATAGTACCTACTACATTACTTTAAGCAAAAGTAAGCTGCTTGTTTAACTACTTAAAGTTTATAATAAAAGAGTTTTATTCTTATTATAACTAGTATCAAAATTGTCTTCTATATTTTTTTTTGCTTTGTTTTATTTTTTTTTTACTCTTTACTAATTTAAATTTTTTTTTTACTTGGTTCTTTTTTTTTTTTTTCTTCTCTTTTTAATCTATCTATTATTCCCACTTTTTTTTCTTATTTACTAATTTTCTTACATTGGATTCTCTTTACTTGTTTATAAAATATATTTTAGATCATACTTGTTATTATACTCATAAATTGCTGTTTTAATTTTATACTTAAAAGTTGTCATAATTAGTTTTGTGTTTTTTTTTGAAATTAGGTTTTTAATTAGTATCTCACTTATTTTTACTTTCTCTGTTTCTGTTTTTTCAAAGAGCATTATATATAATATATATGGAAGAATTCAGACTTTTTTTCTTCTTTTAGTTACTTTCAGGCTGTTGCAATAATTGCTTTTTAAATTCTTTTTTATAAGTTTTTTTTGTTTTTTATATACTGCCAAGTGTGCCTGTGTTTCTTTAACTTTATCTTAGCATATTTGGTATTTTAATGTTTTAAATATATCTGGTTTTTTTCTATTAAATTCTTCTAGGATCAGAAGTTTATCTATTACATACTTTATAAATATACTTTTTCTGACACTACTTCTTCTTGTTATATAATATACTCTTTTGATCATCTTTAGTCTTTTTCAAAAATATATTTATAATAAATCATAACTTTTAGTTTTGGTTCTAAGTCTTATTTTTTTTAAATTGCTTCTGATTTTGCATTTATTATTAATTTATATATTAATCTTACTAGTATATCAGTTTATATGTTTTCTATTCTAGACAGTACTTTATCTTTTTACAACTAACTTCTTCTGTCTATACTTTCTTCTTGCTTATTGCTTCTTTTTTTGCTAGACTATCAGTTTTGTTATTTCACTTATTCTTACTATGACTTTTCATTTTAACTAACTCTATTTGTATATTTTTTATTATAATAAGGTTTTTAATCTTTATTATTTATATTGTATTCTTCTTCTTGAGGATCCTATTTCTGTCTATTTATTTTAAATCTCTACTAATGTTTCTTATTGCAATATTGCTATTTATATATATTTTTATTTACTTTTTCTTTAGTATTATTAAGCTTGCTGTCTATATTACTACTAGCTCAACTATCATTAATGTTTGTCATCCTTCTAAATCTAGTGCTACTTCCTTTTCTGATTATTCTTGTGTTTCATTTGTTTGAACTTATCCTTTATTTATTTTATTTTTGATTATTATATCTTCTTTGGCTTTTATGTTTGCTGCATTATTTGTATATATTATATACTTATTCTTGTTTCTTATTATATTCTTTTTTAAGACTTCTACTATTTCTTAATTAATGTTTTTTTTAGCTTTTGTTGTCTAATAATTTTACTTCTAATTCTTCTATTATTCTAATTCTTTCAAGTTTTTGTTTTTTAGATTCTAGTTTATTTATTTTTATTATTTTTGTTATTTGATCTATTGCTATATTAATTTAATTACTTTCTTTTTTATTAACATATTTAAAACTATGTTAATTTTGCTATTTATTTTAATTTATTATTAGCAGCTGTTTTTTATTTGTTTTTTTTCTTGTACTGCCATCACATCTATTTATTTTAATAACTAGTTCATCTTTTTTGCTTTGCATTTGTTAGTATTTTACTAATCTTTTTTTTCTTTTTGAT